CTTCCTCCCTAAATGCCACACAACGTAAACACCTAGAAAATGTGCAAAAGAGGGTATGCAAGATTATTCTCTCCCCTTCCTACTCCACACATCAAGAAGCGCTCAACACACTGACCCTTTCGACTCTCACTGACCATCACCACGACCCCATCTGCAAATTTGGTGAGAAACTTCTGCACCATCCTCGACACCGGCTCCTACTACCACCTGAGATCCCTGGCCCGAGAATTGCTGTTCGACACCACAACCGCATCCAGCCCATACGAGCACGAACTGATCGCTATAAGAACAACCCATTCCCAACCACTGTAAAAATTATCAATAACTTGTAAGAAACTAGTGTATTCACTCCCAGTAAATCCTACTTTTTTGCACTGTCACCATGTTGAAATGCCCTGTAGTTTGAGCTTTTCCCCACCTAGTTATTATATATCTTATTTGTATGACTTATGTTAATTGTATATTACTTGTAAATCGAAACCCTTTCCCCAATTATGTAACTGTATATTTTCAGCCTTCTGGCTGCTATGCTCTTTCAATAAACCGTTAATTATTATTATTATTATTATTATTATTAGATAAAGAAGACCACAATAACACGAACTGCCCAGTGGAAAATAGACAAACATAGAAGATTAACACCAGTATCACGATCGGCCAGGTGGTACTGTAAGCACTGTAACAAGTGGGGTACCGCAGGGTAGTGTATTGGGCCCGCTGTTGTTTGTTTGTTTCATAAATGATATGCCTGACGTTGTACACTCCTCCATACAAATGTTTGCCGATGACGCCAAGTTATTTCGGGAAATTAAGAACCAAGCGGACTGTGAAGAGCTGCAGAAGGACCTCTGTGGGCTCCAGGAATGGTCGAAGGAATGGCTGCTGAGATTCAATGTCACGAAGTGTAAGAGGATGCACCTGGGGCGTACCAACGGTAAGGAGGCGTACCATATGTCCCAACGGGATGAAGAAAATGTACTAGTTGAGACTGTGTGTGAGAAGGACCTAGGTGTGTATGTTGACAATGAGCTGAAGTTCTCGGGCCATTGTGAGAAGAAGGTAAATCAGGCAAATAAATTATTGGGTCTTATAAGAAGGTCGTTCAGATATCTAGACGGTCCGTCCCTCGTGACGATCTTCAGGAGTGAAGTGCTTCCCCATCTGGAGTACTGTCACCCCATCTGGTCCCCGAGATATGCTAGGGACTGTCAGTTGGTTGAAAATGTTCAAAGGAGGGCCACCAAGCTGGTGCCTGCACTTCGGCATCTCAGCTACCCTGCGAGATTGGAGCGCCTGAACTTGCCTAGCTTATACTACAGACGGGCAAGGGGGGACCTAGTTGAGGTTTATAAGCATCTCAGGGGGCACTACTCAGTTGAGTGTCCTTACTTGGAGCTGGCGGACGCTCGCCCCACAAGGGGTCACAGCTCAAGATTGAAGAAGCCGCAAGTCCGGAAAACCGTGAGGGCAAACTTTTTCGGAGTGAGGGTTGTAAACTCTTGGAACAATCTACCAGAGAGTGTTGTGACGGCACCGAGTGTGAGCTCTTTCAAGAGAAGACTTGACCAACACTGGAGCGGGTTCAGGTACATTCAGGAGCCGGTGCATGCCCAGTATTTGCCAACAGTGCGTGACAGAGACGTGACCGATCGCCCGGGCGGCTAGCGAGCCGACCTTTTGGTGAAGAATATAAAGGAAAAGAGTCGTGACCGATCGCCCAAGCGGCTAACAAGCCGATCAGTGGCGAAGAGGATAAAAGTAAAAGTAAGCAACACCTCCTCCACCTCCTGCCTGGCGGCCCTCGCTCCTGCCGGCGAGCATGGCGACCCAAAAGCTGGTCCTCCTCTGAGCACCCTCACCAACCAGCTCTCTCTACTCAATGCTTGTAACCATGCTGCCTTCCCAGCACCAAGCTGCATTGTACATCCAATACAATTTGTATACAGAGAGCACATTGTGAGTTTCCTTTCTCCATCCCATCCTGAGTGTGAACCAACATCTCGTGCCCCATAGTACTATCTGGTCACGAATTATGAGAGACCACCACTCATGAAGGATATAACAAGAAAAGAAGAAGTCAACTTCCACCGACTAAGACTGTAATACCCATGCATTTGGGAAATCATTGTACAAGTACCAGCAGAGCAGCGCATGTGCAAGACCTGCGACAGCGGAGCCGAAAACTCACTGCAGCACTTTTACATAGAGTGCCCTGGAACACAATTAGCTACGAGAAACATACAACCCCCTATCACAGCAGAGAAGGTTGCCAAAATGCTAACCACCAACCACTCTCAAGAAACCCTACAGTTTCTTACCGAGCATCCACTCCCATGCTAGTGGTGGAGATGTACAGTTAACTAAAAAGATGCTGGTGTTTTATCCTAGCAGTGGGTGGACAAGCATTTTAGCTTGAGGTCTGCTTAGGTAATATTCCCACAAATCTAAAAAAAAAAAAAGCCATGATGATCATTCTACTCAACGCTCTCAAACGAACAAGACCTCACAACAAGCTCCTTACCCAATAAGACCTCTAACCAAGCTTCTCATCCAACAAGACCTATCAACAAGCTCCTCACCACACAACAACTCCCTAGCGCTGCACTGTGCATTCAATATATATATATATATATATATATATATATATATATATATATATATATATATATATATATATATATATATATATATATATATATATATATATATATATATATATATATATATATATATATATATATATATATATATATATATATATATATATATATATATATATATATATATATATATATATATATATGCTGATAACCACAAGGAAAAAAGAAAACACGAAGTTCCCAAGCGCTTTCGTGTAATTCACATCTTCAGGGGTGAGTACAGACTAAAGAGGAGTACAAAACAAGGTGTATATATACAGAGGAGGGTGAGACCAGGTCCACAATGGTCAGGTATTAGGTAATGACCCTACTAATCCTTAAATAGCACCACAAGGGTTGGTGGTCAGGTCAGATGGTCAAGTGACCCAACCTTCTCACCTGGTTACAAATCTTCTTAATTACAAAATTGTCCAGTTTGTACATGCCATTACACAAATTCATGTTGAATGCTTCGGTATGTTTAATGAGACTAGATTCTATGATGTTCCTACTATCAATTGAATTACAAGGTAATATTGAGGAGGCATTATCCCAGTCAATGCAATGCTTGTTATCCCTCAAATGAACAAACAGAGCATTGGATTCCTGGCCTGTCCTAACACTGTATTTGTGTTGTTTAAGTCTAGTCACAAGATCTTTACCTGTCCGGCCTAAGTAAAACATATTACATTCCTTGCAAGGAACTTTATAAATGCAACCAATTGTGTTGTTGGGGGAGTTCTTGATTAACATTTGTTTAAAAGTGCATGAGTTTTTAAATGCCACATTGACGTTCCAGGTTTTTAGTTCTGAAGGAATGTGTGAGAAATTTTTGTGAAATGGTAATATTAAGATATTCTTATGGTCATGGGTGGGCTTGGGATCAGTCTGTACTCACCCCTGAAGATGTGAATTACACGAAAGCGCTTGTGGTTATCAGCATATATATATATATATATATATATATATATATATATATATATATATATATATATATATATATATATATATATATATATAAAACGACATTGTGAGTTTCCCTTCTTACCTCCATCCTTAGGGCGAGATCTCCTACATGTACGTATGTACTGTATGTGAGCCCTACAAAGAGAAAAACTTCCTGCCCTCTCGTACGTCTATGGGAAAGGGTCGCGGAAAGGGGACGTGATTGCTGCCCGTATCATCATTGGGTATGACTTTGCTTGGGAGATTGGTATCCCCGCATCCCCTGAGCAACGCTTTTGTGCATTATGCAGAAGACCCGACAGCAGCACCCTTATCCACTACCTCCTAAGATGTCCCCACACACAACGCTTCCGCCTGCTGGACCACCACTCCACGACCCCCTGACGGAGATGATGATCCTCCCCATACTGGCCAGATATTTTGTAAATAATATTGATAATGTGATAAAGGAATATCCTTCCTTCCTTAGGCTTTAGTAAGCCCATTATAATATTTATACTGTATATACTTGTCACACTTGCCAGATGCTTCTGGTGTCATTGTACAGGGGTACCTAGTGACAGTGTGGGGTATGAGATGTTTGGGTTCACACTCAGGATGGGATGGAGAAAGGAAGCTCACAATGTGCTCTCTGTATACATGTTGTTTTGGATGTACAATGCATTGTTTGGTGCTGGGAAGTGGCAGCGTGGTTACAAGGGTGATGTAGAGAGAGCTGGTTGGTGAGGATGCTCAGAGGAGGACCAGCTTGTGGGTCGCCATGCTCTCCGGCGGGAGCGAGGACCGCCAGGCAGGCGGAGGAGGAGGAGGTGCTGCTTGCTGGTTGGTGTAGGTAGAAAGAGAGAGATCACCACAAGGTCATGTTTTAAATAGCTGGGGGTAGGTGTGGCTTAGTAGTTGACCCCCGCGCTGGTTGACCCAGACCACGAGGCATACACTGGGGAATTCGCGGGGTCGGCTACTCAGCGACAAACAGCGTTTGTAGGGGAGAAATCCACTACAACAGCACTAGGATCCCGCTTCCTCTATCAAGGAATAAAAATTGAAATTGAAAAATTGAAAGAGAAATAGACAAACATAGAGAGATTTGACAACTGGCTACATTCAGTACGTTACACTGTAATACCTCGACGTAGATGAAATGTGGCTTGGAAATTTTCTTTAAGCCTGATTATTGAAGATATATTATGTTATTAATGATATTTCTGTGTTTTGATCTCTATAATTTATTACAAGAGGAATTAATATTTCAAGTGTATTATGAATGTCATGAAAAAGGTAAATATATATTTTAGTGTAATTACATATGAGTATAATAGTTTATTGTGGATAATATATAATTTATATTATTATTACATATACATTGACTTGTCGATTAGATGTATTTTAATAATAATTATATTCATGTATTTTTAGGTTAAGTATGAACGCTGTGACGTCATCATGTACACAAACTCGGTCTGTCTGGGTGGAATAATTTCTCTTGGCTGTTGACGAAGACCACCACCACGGTAAGTCCTCACAACCACTCCTAGTGCAGTATTATTAACGATCTTATTTGTGATTATATGGCTTTATTTCTCAGGTTCCCGCCTTGTTTACTTGATGCTAAAATTATACGATATTAATGTGTTTACACACTGTTCATTCCTACCATTAATCTATTATCATACTCGAATAAGACGTCTAATTATAAGATAAGCTAAATTGTTCTTGTAGCTCCGTTCACTTGTAGCAAGTTAAAAATATATTTTTCTAGTGTATTTGTGTGTGCTGAGACCGAATATGACCTTCCTTTTTGGCGGCAATTAGCCGGGGTTTTTTTGCGATTTTTATTCGTTTGACGATTTCCGAGAAAAAAGTGCGTAAGCGACTAACGAATACACAATAAAACACTAGAAAAACAATAACCAAACCTAACCTAACAACCTGACTTAACTTAACTGACTCTCACCATATAATGGAATCACCTATTTCTTACCTAATTGGCCTGGTTCTTGTTCGTCGTTGCATCTGGGATTCTTACACAACTCCACATATGTTGGTCTTTGTGATATTTACACTCAGTCTTGCTCTTAGTACACTTTACTAAAGTTGGAAGAATACCATGCGGTTGAAAAAATGCGATAGTTTCTACTTTTTTTTCTCCAAAAACTCGCAATCAGCTCCATATACTTTAAGTGACATCCACCGCAGACTTCCATGGTCGGAACTGAACTAGCAAAAACGCTTTTGATTGGCTGCGTGACGTGTATGGGTACGCATCCGCATCATGATTATGAAGGAGACGCGAGAGACACAAAGTGTTAGGTGAGAGGCAGACGATAATGGCGCGATGTTAAAGGAAGAAAATAAAAAATTTTGGAAGAGCTATCTCTGTTATTATACATTTCCGCCGGTAATGTAATAGATGAAAATTATCTTATAATTAGACGTCTTATTCGAATATGATAATAGATTAGTGGTAGGAATGAATGGAGCTACAAGAAAATAATACCTAAGATAATTTTCATCTATTACATTACCGGAGGAAATGTATAATAACGGATATAGCTTATCCAAAATTTTCTCTATTTTCTTACCATTAATCTTCCTCCATTATCGCCTACCTCACCTCCCACACTGCGGGTCTCCTTCATAAATCATCACACGCATGCGTTCCCGTACACGTCACGCAGCCAATCAAAAGCGTTTTTGTTGATAAATTTGCATTGTCACACCGCTCACTTTTAGCAAGTGTATTTGTGTGTGTTTAGACCGAATATGACCTTCATTTTTGGCGGAAATTAGCCGGTTTTTTTTCACCGATTTTTTTTTTCGTTTGACTTTCCAAAAAAAAAGTGGCTAAGCGACTAAAAAATACAAAAAAAAAACTAGAAAAACAAAAACCTAACCTAACCTAACTTAACTGACTCATACCATATGATGGAATCCCCCATTTCTTACCTTATTGGCCTGGTTCTTGTTCGTCATTGCATTCTGGGATTCTTACACAACGCCACACATGTTGGTCTTTGCGATATTTACATTCAGGCTTGCTCTTAGTACACTTTAATGAGGTTAGAAGAACACCATGTGATCGAAAAAATGCTATAGTTTCTACGTTTTTTTTCCAAAAACTCGCAATCAGCTCCATATACTTTAAGTGACATCCATCGCAGACTTCCACGGTCGGAACTGAACTTGAATTTCAAAATATGAGAGACCCAAAATAAAACTCGATTTTGATTGGTCCAAATATACTCTGAATTAAACCCAAAACCATTTTAATTGGTTTCAAAAGCAAAAACGCTTTTGATTGGCCACGCGACGTGTACGGGTATGCATGTGCGTCATGATTTATGAAGGAGACGCGAGAGACACGCAGTGTTGGGTGAGAGGCAGACGATAATGGCGGGAGGTTAATAGAAGAAAATATAATTTTGGGGAGGAAAAGCTATCTCCGTTATTATACATTTCCGCCGGTAATGTAATAGATGAAAATTATCTTATAATTAGATGTCTTATTCGAATATGATAATAGATTAGTGGTAGGAATGAACGGTGTGTAAACGCAATAATACCTTTTTGTTTATGGAACCAGTTAAAATGATTTTGGATTTAATTCGCGATATATTTGGCCCAGTCAAATTCGAGTTTTATTTTGGGTCTCTCATATTTCAAAATTCAAGTTCAGTTCCGACCATGGAAATCTGCGATGGGTGTCACTAAAATTATATGGAGCTGATTGCGACTTTTTTTTTTTAAAACGTAGAAACTATAGCATTTTTTCGATCGCATGGTGTTCTTCCAACCTCAGTGAAGTGTACTAAGAGTAAGACTGAATGTAAATATCGCAAAGACCAACTTATGTGGTGTTGTGTAAGAATCTCAGAATCCAACGACGAACAAGAACTAGGCCAGAGAAATGATTGGGTTATAACAGTATATTTACATTTTTAGTAATAAATAATACCTCAGACTAAAGTTAGGATAATATAATTGACATAATATAATGGATTCCTTGCAAGACCAGGAATATTTTGAATATACACTTCATATATTTTGCACAAAAGATAACATATTTGCTCTGAGTAAACAAAATACTTGCATTAGATCTAAAATTTGTATGTCTAATGCAAAATCTATGATGCTTATATTCAAAATGATCATCAAATTGTAAGAATTCTAGCAATGTAAATTATATTCTGGCCGGATAATTTGTATGAATTTTATGAGCTAAATAAAAAAATTATACTTCACCCGCGTATATGAGTAGATGCACCGCGTAAAGTGGGAATTCCGGTTCTGGCAGGGTACCGCGTAAATGTAGAAACACGTAAAGTGAAACCGCGTAAAGCGAGGGTTTTCTTCTTTCCTTGTGGTTATCAGCATATACCTAGATCACGCGCACCTACAGTGATTTACTTGCATATATATATATATATATATATATATATATATATATATATATATATATATATATATATATATATATATATATATATATATATATATATATATATATATATATATATATATATATATATATATACTTACATAAATACATACATACATATTTATATATATATATATACAGTATATATACAGTGAACCCTCGCTTTACGCGGTTTCACTTTATATATATATATATATATATACAGTCAACCCTCACTTTACGCGGTCCCACATTCCGCGTTTCCATGTTTACACGGTGCCCTGCCAGAACCCAGGATGCTCACATTCCGCGGTGGGTGTACCCCTTTACACTGGTGAAGCATAATTTTTTTATTTAGCTCATAAAATTCATACAAATTATCCGGCCAGAATATAATTTACATTGCTGGAATTCTTACAATTTGATGATCATTTTGAATATAAACATCATATATTTTGCATTAGACATCCAAATTTTAGATATAATGTTTACTCTGAGTAAATATGTTATCTTTTATGCAAAATATATGACATTTATATTCAAAATATTCCTGGTCTTCCAAGGAATCCAGCAATGTCAATTATATTATCCTAACTTTAATCTGAGGTATTATTTAATACTAAATGTTAAAATCTAGTTTTTTCACCCAACCTTTCTCTTGAAGGGAGGATTGGTGGGGGGTAGGGGGGAGGGTTGGGACGGACCGACCATCTGGCCCGGTTGGCAGAGGGGGGAGGCAAGGTGGGGTACTTTGATTGACAGATAGTGTCGTGAAGAATATATTTTTTTTTATTAACTGAAGATATTTGTTTTAGCTCATAAAATTCATACAAATTACCTGACTAGAATATAATTTACATTGCTGGAATTCTTACAATTTGATGATCATTTTGAATATAAACATCATAGATTTTGCATTAGACATACAAATTTTAGATATAATGTTTACTCTGAGTAAATATGTTATCTATTGTGCAAAATATATGACATTTGTATTCAAAATATTCCTGGTCTTACAAGGAATCCAGCAATGTCAATTATATTATCCTAACTTTAGTTTGAGGTATTATTTATTACTATACCTGGTTTTCCCCCCAAAATTTCTCAGAGAGGGAAGAGCCAGGAGTGTAGTGTGAGAAGAGGGGGAGGGAGTTGAGTCCATTATTTGAATGGACATTAACTTGGCGACTGTATTTCTCTATTTCTCTTAAGTAGTAATTGTGTGCATGTACCATCATAAAATTAAGATGTTATTTTTACTAGAACATAGGTAATGTGTTGGAAAAAGTGGAGTTTGGAGGTCAGCTGGTCTCTATTTCATTTAATCCCATATGTTATGTTATTCACTTTACGCGTTTCTCACTTTCCGTGTACCCTGTGGTTACATTAACCGCAGAAAGTGAGGGTTGACTGTATATATATATATATATATATATATATATATATATATATATATATATATATATATATATATATATATATATATATATATATATATATATATATATATATATATATATATATATATATATATATATATATATATATATATATATATATATATATATATATATATATATATATATATATATATATATATATATATATATATATATATATATATATATATATATATGATATAGAGTGTTATAACGAACGGATTCTACTACGAATATTCCTATAACTAACGGTTTTACCTATAAATTGAAAATGCTATAACAAACGAAACTCCTACAACAAATTTTTCTTTACTAATTTGTTTTTTATAAATATTAATGATATTCTTTATTTCAGGAGTTTAGATGCATATTTATGAGCTTTTACAATTTTTTATTATATTTTCAGTGTTAAGTGGTTGTATTTGGGGGCAGTTAATCCTATAATGAACAAATGCTATTACGAACAAGGTTCTATAACCAATTAGATTCGTTATAGCATACTGTGTATATATATATATATATATATATATATATATATATATATATATATATATATATATATATATATATATATATATATATATATATATATATATATATATATATATTATACCCCATTAGCAGGGTCAATTGAACCCAGAGGTCCCGGTTAAGT